GGTTTCATGGTGGGAGATGGATTTTTTCCAGATCAAGCTTCACAGCCCAGCTCTGAATAAAATGTTTGCTCTTGTACATCCTCTTCTTGCATATTGACTTAACTTCGGCAGTCTGCTGAGGACATTTAAATATTTCAAGCAATGTTCAAGAGGAAAATTAAATTACTTTTAAAGCTGAACTGTGCAAAGATCAGCATGGCTCACTGTAATCTGCTTCAAATGATTAATGTGTGAATTAGTCTGCAGTTATTTTTCCACCAGTTATAAATTAGAGGAATGTTCATACATGTGTGCAGAGCAAAGACCAGCTCTGCCTATTTGTATGCAGAAAACAATCCAACTGTGTGGCCCAGGAGTTTTGCAAATGTCGTGAAAATTAACTTAAGACTAAACATCTTCCAATTCCGATAACCTGTTTAATCATGAGTTTCAGCGTCTGCCTTCTGGGAACAAAGCTTAACCCAAGCATTCATGCACTATACTAGGATCGGTAAACACTTAGTTAGCTAGATTTTGCATTTGCAATTACTGGTAACTGATTATAAATGATTGTGAGGAATYAACACTGATAAATGGGTTTTGGATTCCAATTATTTAGGCTTTGTGCACACTGCTTAAATCTTTAGGCAAATGTCATTAATGCAACATTGTCGTTTTAAGTCACTGGCTTGTTGCAAAATAACACCAACTCAGCACAGTATTATATATCCCACTGTATCTCCCTCTGTGTGAAAGGAAATCCATGAGAGGGAACGGTTTAGTTTAAACTACAGACAACAGGAAATCAGTCAGGAGAGTCAGATTACAAATATGACGATTCAGCATCTTAACTGGACTCTGCTGAAAACACGTTGGAAGACATTTTCATCTATCCGCAGCTGCGGAATTGGACTGTAACGTCCTGCTGCGTCATTAAAGTCAAACAAAAATAGCAGAGGATTTAACCCCGATGACCCACGCAACCCTGAAAAGGAAGAAGCGTGTACAGAAAATGGATGGATGGATGGATGGAGTCGATGAATTGTGTTTGTGAGAAAAGAAAGAAGGTGGAGTTGTTATGCAGAGAAAACAAAAACTACAACAATGGTATTTAACTCAGATGGGCTTCAGTTCACAGGTTTAAGGGTTAACAGCCAAACAGTAGATGAATAGTGTGGGAGCATGCTTCACCRCAGGGACTGTTGTTGGTAAGCAATGGCAGCTGAGAGGAGTTAACGGTTAACAGTTCACTGCTACTGGATTGTGACTTAAATCTATGATGCCTGGAAGCAGCTTRTGAGGCTCTATGGGACGCATGAACTGCATCGTTTGCACCCAGAGAAGCAATGAAATACTTATCACGGTCTGTGTACCACGGTACGCAAAGAGATTTTCCTGAATGCCCCTTGAAAACGTTCAAGCAACCATTTTTATACTTGTGTCAATGAGCAAACATTTAGTTTCTGCCAATTTTAGATTTAAGGAGCTGAGTGTTTGARCAGCAACCAGTGTGGTGTTTGGGTCATTTGATTTTTATCTTTTATCTTTATACTCAATACTTCTGAATCAACACCATTGAGATCAGACGTTTGTTATCTTCTACAAAGTAGCTTCACTATAGTCAGGGTTCCTACAGTTTAAGGCAAGTTAAATTTAAGACCAATTTCAAAATAAACACAAATGACAAAAAATACAAACCGGCAGAAACTCATAAACCAAAGTATTTTTGGTTTAAGTATTCGAATATTGCTAAAAGACCAATTGTTTTTATCCAAATCATATCATTCTGAGCAGTCAGTTTTAAACTTAAAGTGCCTGTGACATCATTTTTTTCTAATAAAAGTGAATTAATTTTTGGAAAGACGGCATTAACATATTACAAAACAAATGTAACATTGCTCAGATGGACAGTTGAGAAAGTTGCATTTGAAATAACTGGAAGTGATGTCAAAGGGGAATGTCTGTATGGGAATGTTTAAAAAATAAATTTTACCAATTATTTCAATATTTGAAATGATTTACAATCAACCTATGTACAATGTGTTAACATTTTTAAGACTTCTGAAAGATTGATTTAAGACATTTTAAGGCTAATTAAGGCCTTATTTTTGGTTTGATGAATTCAATGCCTTTTAAGACTTTAAGGATCTGCAGGAACCCTGTATAGTTCTCCAAGTTTTCTGAAAGTTTTTTCTTGGGATTCTTAGAAAGTTATATTGGTGTCTTCTTCCTAGCAGCCTGTCACAAATGATATTTTTTTTGTTGCTCACATTTTTTGAGAGCACATTTTTCTATGAATAAAAAGGAAGTTGACACAGTTTGACACGCATGCAAGATGATTCTGGGGAAAAAAAGATTTGGCAAAATTTTGGCTTTTTATATTCTCACTATGCTGCGAAGTGTTGCCCTTTCAAGCAGTGTTAAATATAACAAAACGCAATTCAAGAAACCAGAATAACTTGTCCTTGTCACAGAGTRCTTGTACACTTTTTCAGATAAACCTTAAAATTGAATCTTTAATGCCTTTTAGTGACAGAATACAGATAAACTTAGAAATGTTTAATGGCTGACTGATTCATAGATTTGTASGAGATCGTTTAGCAAACAAAATCTATCTAAAAGTTGTCAAAATATGAGGACTAGAACGATGCTTTAAAACAGACGTTCTTTAAAACAAATCTTCAGTGATGTTTAAATTGATTTATCCATTTTCTGAACAAGCCTAAGAAGATTCTTGGCATAATCTGCTGTAGTTGGCTCATAACACACAGCTAATTTAGGATGCCTAAACTAACAATAGCAGCTAACACCAACAAATGGGATATAATGCCAGAATTTAAAAGGTACTTTTTGTACTGTTGAAGAAAAACACTACTTTTTATCCCTTCATGTTTACATGAAACCTCTACAATCTGTTCTCCCAAACTAAATGATCTGACAACCTGGAGTTGGATTTATCAACTTATCATCAACTATATACTATATTTATGAGGGTAAAAAACTCTTAGTTTAAGCTACAGTAATAAGTATTAATTACAACAGGTTTGAACACGCAGGAGTAATTTCACCTGTATGAGTGTTCACTTTTACTSTATGTAATGCTGCTATGAATGTAAAAACCAGTTAGGGCTACAACTAACGATTATTTTAATAATTGATTAATCTGTCGATTATTTTTTCGATTAATCGGCCAMATCATTAAAAACACTTAATTACATAAATATAAGTAGATATAAATAAATTTAATTCCTGTATAAATTAGGGATGTAAGTTATCAATTAATGTTAAGTTGTATGAAGTTGATTTATCTTATAGATTGACTAACGACTAACTGATAAGCAGTCATTTTCTTAAAAACCAGAATCAAGAGGGTCTTTTCATGACATGAAGGAATTTTTTTAAATAATATCCTAAATTAAAAAAAAGAAGCACATCATAAATATTTTCACAATTGATTTTGCCAGCTGTATTAAACACTGACCGAATAAACAGAAAATTGTGGATTTCTCACATGTTATTAAACTTGGACATATTTATAAAATACAACAAAACAGAATCTGTTAGGTTTTTTGTTGGAAAAAAGGAAAGAAAAACAAAGTAAAACACTTGATCCTCCCTGAACTGAGAAATGTATAACTAATATTTAAACACAGGGTAACATTTTAATCTAAAGATTCACTTAAAAACAAACTATGAACATGACCAGAGGCTCATTTCACAAAAGTCAGATTTATAAATTCAGGATATGAGCTGTAAGATGAGCTTGAACAAGCCTTCAACAGCTGTAATCTGTTGCTCTAACACAGGGGTATCCAAACAGTAGCTCATAACCTCATTTAAAGTAGCTCTTCAGTGCTTATGAAAAATTAGGAGAAGCAAATTTTAATTTGTCACTGGCCAAACAAACATTCATTTAATTCCAATTAGTCTATAGATGTCCCTTCCCCTTGACTGTCAATCAAATAGTTTTGGGCTCAGTATGGTCGATCGGCAGACGATACGCGGTTGTTCTGCGT